CCCCCCCCCCCTTCTAATGTATATAGCTGCGGGGTGGGGATTAAACCCCCCGCAACTGATTGTATCGGGAGGACGGGGTGGTGGTGAGAGTTTTGAGTGGGCTTAGACAAACACAGGCGAACTGAGTTCACACCAAGCCCAGCCTCATCACTACTCCTCAGTTTTCCCTTTTTTTTTGGTGTAATGTACAGATATCTATAAAAAGGTTCTATTTAAACTACCAAAAGTGTTATTCTGCACTAACACCTTTAGCATAGCTCTTAATTATCTTGTATACTATTTTGAAAAGCTTGTATAAAGGAAAATTATTGATAAAAAAGACAATTCTGGGTTTAACCAATTATTTTGCCATATACATTCCTAATGGTCCGCATAGCTGGGGCTGTGAAAGCGGAGTGTCTGTTGTCTAAAGGAATTGTAATAGAAGGTGTCCCTCTCTCAGAAAGTTGAGAGGTATGGGAATATTTTCCCTAGGTGTTCTGTGTTCTGTAATACAGAGTAACAAGTAATGTTTCTGCCTGTGCTTGATATGCTGTAAAGTTACCTTACAAAACATATTATCTCCAAAGGAATGGACAAGGGGAGTAATAATAGGAATGACTGCAAAACAGGCAGTCCCGGGACAAGGTCCTCTGGCACCCAAGGGGAAGATGTTGAAGTGCACACCATCCACTTCCAGAGCTGAAACAAATAAAATGTACATATCCACATATACATACAATGCAAAACATTGTGGTACTGCAAATGAGATGCACAGTATTGCAGTACCACGTGTAGCGCTGCGTTGCAGTGCTTTGTAGCCAGGAGGTGCATTGGGGTGCCATTTAAATGAAAGACAATCTAACACACCTGCCACCTACACTGTAACGCATGGTAGGTGCATTGTATCATAGTGTGCATTATCGCTCGGTATTGTGAGAATAACGCAAGGCATAGGTGTAAACGAGCCCAAATTTACAGATGAATACAAGCAATTCAGCAACAAAAGCTAAGAGATATAGGAGTTTATATAGGAGTTATATAGGAGTTTATAAAACGTATGGGCTAACAGTTTGCTTTAAAATATTTTGTTAAACAAACTACATATAACATACTGGTAAATTAATGAAGACCAGAACAGCCCATTACACTGAGAAGAGAGCGGTTCTCCTAGTGCAGGGGTCGGCAACCCCCGGCACGTGTGCCCAGCCTGGCACGCAAGCCCTTCTCCGCTGGCACGCAGGCAGTGGTCTCAAAGTACCGGGCCGGTACTATGTGGCCTGCAGCCAGCTCACAAGTCTGGTACGCGGTCATCTCTGTCGGATGCAGACCGCAGAGCTGCTTCTGTGGCGGCGTCTTAACTTGTCTTCAGCATAATATATATAGGCTCACCAATCACCGAGTTGTTCCATACACTCACTGTGTCCCAGTCGTTTAATAGTTCTCTCTTGCAGCACTGCTGCTCCGGCCTCAATCTTCAGGGCCACTGTCTGGTTCCCCCAGACAATCTTAATAATGTGCCAATCCTCACCATAGGCTTCACAAACCTGCAGCACCCTGCTGCACTGGCCTCCACACTGACTCCTGGGTGGAGCTCTCCTGTCTCCCCGGTGGGGCCCTCAATACATCCCAGCACCCTCTTCATGAGGAATGTACACATGTGCACAATTAGGTGCTGGTCCCTACTAACCCATGGACCCAGGACTGGAGATTTCGTCCCACCCAGAGCTCTAAGAAATCTCCTGGCTCCAGGATCCCAACTAGGATCCAGAAAACAAGGAAAGGACTGAAATGGCAGTTCTTTCCTGGTACAAGTACTTTCTTCCTGCAACATAACACAGTGGTATTGCCATGCAATGCCACAGTATATATATATATATATACATATATATATATATATATAAAGTGTATTGGGCTCCGTTCACAGCTGTATCTTTAGGTGAAATTAGGATTTCCTGCAGCAGGAATCCCTAATCTGGCGTTTAAAAGTGGCAGCTGTCACCTATTCAAGTTAATGATCAGGTGACAGAAGTTGCATGTAAACGCCTGCACGTATCAATGTAATAATAAGTGATATTATAGTACCGAACCAGATATAGTTACATTTTATTTTAAGGTATGAAATTTGGCAAGCTGCCCCCATGGGAGAAAAAAAATTGTCGAGTGGCCCCCTAGGGAATTGAGTTTGAGACCCCTGCTTTAAGGCTTGCAATCAACAGCTACCTCAAGCCAGCTGTCAATTGCAAGCCTGGCCCACCCACCTCCCTGAGGTAGCTGAAGGCCATTGGTGCACTGATGAGGCCCTCAACTAGGTCTGCACGTGCTCCTGCCTGGAAGCTCCCTGAGTTGCCGGCCGCCGAAACTGCACCTGTCAAACACGCAGATTTTAGTGGCTACCTGCCCGAGCTGGAGGATTCTATTGTTTCTGAGATGAGGACCAAAAGAGACAAAGACCGAGAGTAGAGACCGGATGCATGGAGCTGGAGTGGGAGAAGGGACAGGATGGATAGAGGTGGAATGGGAGAAGGGACGGGATTTTTGCATATATCTACTGATAGCAACCTTAAGTTTAAAATAAATAAATAACTGCTTTAAAAGCGGTTTAAACTTACCACTTACCATTTTCGGCCGGGAGACGAGGAGAGACACAAGGTAAGTCTATGGACGCGTGCACCCGCATGCAGACACTGTGGGACAGGAAGTGCCAGCAAGGACAGAGGAGTCAGCGCTGGATTGGAGACCCGCAGCAGTGCTGCAGAGAAGGCTGGAAAGGACAGGAAAGAAGAGGAAGATCAGATTAAGAGACATCATTTAAGGTAAGTGCTTTATTTAACATTGGGGGAAGGGAAAAACGTTTTTAACTTTAATGTCACTTTAATTATTAAGAGTTTTTAAAAATAATCTCCAGGCAGCAATAATAACCCCACCTTCCCCGAAGCAATAATAATGTATTATTTCTACCTTGGGGGGAAGATTATTATTGCTGCGGGGGTTGGGGTAATTATTATTGTGGCCTGGGGGAAAAATATTAATAATCAAGAGTTATTAAAAAATAACCCCCAGGCAGCAAAAATAATCACCCCCTTTCTCGCAGCAATAATACATTATTATTGCAGCCATTGGAGTAGATTACTATTATTATGAATAGCCAATTATGTTAATTATTTGGAAAATGTCAAGATGGCTTTTACTGTCTTTACTCTCTGGTAGTAGTACAGTTGTATCTTCACCTGTTCCAGCTCAGGCAGGGTGCGCTTCTCCCCCTCCTGATATCACTCCACATGCTGAGGTGGATTGATATCCTCAGCACTGAGACGGCCCCATGCAGGCCGGCACTAAGACTTAACTATCGGCCTCCGCAGCTCCCAGTATTCCTCTGCAGCAACCGAAAATGGTAAAATAGTCTCCTCTCTCCTGTTGTCAGTTCATTATTAATTGGACTGGGTGCCTGGGACCGGCTGCTACTAAAGTGGAAGAGCCCCCTCTGTGGCCCCCGGGTGGCCGATCCCCCCTTCCACGGCACAGGCCCGGTACAGGATGGCTGGTTCTACTCCCCTATCAGTGGCCCTGGTGTTGGCCCA